ACCGCCAGCTCCGAGGCGCGGGTGCACATGCCCGTGTGGAGTTGATGCTGGAGCCCGGCACAGCTGTTTGGAGCCTCCCAGCTGCAGCCAGCCCCAGCTTGCGGGAGCTGCTGCTAGCCAGGATCCCGGGCTGCCACCAGCAGGCAGCTGGGATGCTGCAAGCCCTGCTGGGAGCAGCCTGGGCTCCGTTACTGGCAGCAGCTACCCAGAGCCAGAGCTGGCCGCAGCGTGCCAAGAAAAATAGCCTTGCATATCACGTTCGACATGAGTACCAGGGGTTGCTGACCCCTGTTTTAGAAGGTTGTGTTCGTTAAATCAATACTCAGAAAAGTGGCAAACAACAAATACTTAGTGATGGAAATATCTACTACCCTGAGAGAAAGACGCAATCATGGATTCAACGATGCTAGGGTTGGAAGGGACCTCAATAGATCATCGAGTCCGACCCCCTGCATAGGCAGGAAAGAGTGCTGGGTTCAGATGACCCCAGCCAGATGCCCATCCTCTTGAAGACCCCCAGGGTAGGGGACAGCACCACCTCCCTTGGGAGCCCATTCCAGATTTTGGCCACTAACTGTGAAGAAGTTCCTCCTACTGTCCAGTCTAAATCTGCTCTCTGCTAGTTTATGGCCATTATTTCTTGTGACACCCAGGGGCACCTTGGTGAGTAGAGCCTCACCTATTCCCTTCTGTGCCCCCATGATGAATTTATAGGTAGCCACAAGGTCACCTCTCAACCTTCTCTTGTAGAGGCTGAAGAGGTCCAGGTGCCCTAGTCTCTCCTCGTAGTGCATGGCCTGCAAGTCCTTAACCATACAAGTCATCCTTCTCTGGACCCTCTCGAGGTTATCCACATCCCTCTTGAAGTGTGGCACCCAAAACTGCACGCAGTATTCCAACTGCAGTCTGACCAGAGCCCGATAGAGGGGAAGTATCACCTCCTTGGTTCTGTTTGTCATGCGTCTGACATGAAGAGTAGCTATCGTTTCTTTTACTGGTGTTGAATGACTATTTGTACTGTTTAGTCCAGAGTACTTGGAGATTAGAAGCTGCATGCAAACTGATAATGCTTAAAAGTTTGTTTTCCTTTAAGATTTTATATTATGAAAAAGCCTTAAAGCAGCCTAAGTAAAATTTGAATATCTGGACTGTTCAGCAAGTGATTTGTGAATTTTGTTCCTGCACTTAAGCTTAAAAGGACAACATAATACTGATGCTAGCACAAAGCTTGACTATGCAAAAAGAGAAGCCCATAAGCTTTAACATACTGAAATCAGAATCTCAGCATTATCACTTAAGTGATGTTTATTTGTACTTAAAGACTATATTGAACATGGGGGGGAGGGAGTTTTGCCATTTGCAACTTTTTTCCTAGAAAAAACAGTATTTAGAAATTAATGTGTTAATGCTATTTGAAATGTGTGTTCTACTGCAATTCTATAATTGGATTAAGAATTTACAAGACTGATTACATCCAATTTTTTAAAAAGGCTTTATAGTTGAGTGCATAAAGGCAGGCTGTTTCTAGAATTGAACTCAGAGCTTTAGCACAATGCTATACTTACAGAATAAGTCCCATCATTGAGGGGATGTGGGGAGAAGAAACTAACTCCTGGAAGCCTTCAATACAAGGTGTACCTCCTTGTCAAGACAAGTCACAGAAAACAGAAAATCCTAAACAAATTTAAATTCAAGTTGCCAAGGTAACTCCAAGTATTTGCAGCCTATATTATAGAAACTCTCTTACAAAAGCACTTCTTGAAAACAGTGTAATGAACTTGATGTAAAAGACCAAGCAGTAAAATAAGTACTAGATGCTAAATCTACATGTATTTTGAGCTAAAACATGAAGAGAAATGAAGGAGTCTGCCTGCAGACAGGGCCCAAGTTTAACTATTTAATTCTGGCCCTAACAAATTTACATGTCCTCAAGCATGCCTCAGATGTCAGATTTTCAGGGTCAGAAGGGACCTCATCAGATAGAGTTCAACTCCCTGCCCTGGGCAGGAAAGAGTGTTGGGATCAGATGAGCCCAGCCAGATGTTTATCCAGTCTCTTCTTAAAGACCTCCAAGGTAGGGGAGAGCTGGTACCACCTCCCTGGGGAGCCCATTCCAGATTCTGGTAACCCTTAACATAAAGAAGTTCTTCCTACTATCTAGTCTAAATAGGCTCTGTCAGTTTGTGGCCATTGTTTCTAGTTACTCCAAGAGGCACCTTGGTAAACAGAGCATCTCCTATTCCTTGCTGCTTCCCCCCCCCAAAAAAACAACAAAATTTGTAGACAGCCACCAAATCCCCTCTCAGCCTTCTCTTGTGGAGGCTAAAGAGATCCAGGTCCCTCAACCTCTCCTCATAGGACCTATCCTGCAGGCCCCAGATCAAACAAGTGACCCTCCTCCGGACCCTCTCAAAGTTATCCACATCCTTCTTGAAGTGCAGCACCCAAAACTGAACGCAGTACTCCATCTGTGGCCTCACTAGTGATGCACAGAAGGTAAGTATCACTTCCCTAGGCCTGCACATGATGCAGCTAATTCATGAATGATAGAGTGTGGTGAGCTCTATTAATCAATTCGTCACATTGAGTCAACTATGACTCAGAGATCCTTTCTGCTGCTGTGCGGCTTAGAAAGTCATCCCCCAATCTGTAGGTGTGTTAGCAAATCCTTCTCCCTAGGTGCAGTACTCTGCACTTATCCTTTTTAAATTGCATCCTATTTTGTTCTGCCCAGCTTTTTTTTCCAGTTTGTCCAAATCTACCAGAGTCCACTCCCTACCCACCAGTGTGTCTGCTTTGCCCCATAAATTGGTGTCACCTGCGAATTTGGACTATGCCCTTGTGATGGAAGAATTCATGTTGTAGAGATTCTGGCAGTACTTATCAGTTGGCTTCTGAGGCAGAAGTGGTTTAACATTTATATATAATTTCAAACATTAAAACAGATTAATTAAAATTTACCTCCCTATCAACCATGGTTTATGCAAGAACATTAATATGCGCTTCAGAGAGATGAGGCCTACATTTCCTAGTGAGTTGCAAATAAAGAAGGCTAGTTAAAACACCATCTGCATAATCATCCCAGCTTAGCGTGGAACCAAACAGGACCTAGGTACTTTGGTCACTACAAGCTATCCGCCTTCAATTAACAGTGGTGACATCTCTTCTAGGTCTTTAAAGTGTGCTGTTTCTTCCACAAACATTACTGTAACAATGGGTGTGCAAGTGGAGCACGAGTTGTGAAGTAGGTGGATATAGGGGAAACTAAAGGAGCTGGGATCCAGCCCACATTCTTCATTTTCACTGCAGGTGGGCAGAGTAGTAGTGGCAGCACAGAAGAAGAACATGCATGTTGAACAGCAAAAAGGGGTGGGGGTGACATCTCCTTAGTAACAGAGCCTCTGGCCACTGCTCCTTCACCACACATTGCCACATTAACCTGTTGGAATGCCTGTATCAGAAGCAATGGCATAGAATGCATCAGTGTTATTAGCTGCTACTTACACATTGAGAACAATGGGAGATTGTGTGGATCCCTAAGGGACCCCACAGACATCAGTCTTTGAAAAGGTGCTGAAGCCTTTGAAAGAAATAAAACCACTATTCAGTTTCATTGGAAAGAATCAACTGGAACTGCACAGGGTATTGCTATGTCTGTCAGATGGGTCTGCAGTACCCTGCTGCCTGTACAAAGAGCCACAGAAAAGTTGAGCAATAACCTAGAGGAAGTATGGGTTGGATGAGTGGACTGTAAGACAGACAGAAAGCTGGCTGGATAATCAGGCTCAAAAGCAGAGGCGGGCAATTATTTTGGGCAGAGGGCCACTTACCGAGTTTTGGCAAACCATCAAGGGCCACATAAACAGGCAGCCCAGAGCAGATAAATATTAATTTTCTAAGTTTTTTTTAGGGGCCCCACGGGCCAGACAGAATGGCCGGGGGGAGGCACATCCAGCCCCTGGGCCGCATTTTGCCCACCCCTGGTCAAAAGGGTAGTAATCAACAGCTCAATATCTAGTTCACAGACAGGATCAAGCACAGTGGCCCAGAGGGTCAGTTTTGTTCAATATCTTCATCATGGGGTGATGGGTAGAATGCATCCTTAGCAAGTCTGCAGATGACACCAAGCAGGGCTGGTTGAAATAGTTGATAATGCTGGAGGGTAAGGCTAGGATTCAGAGAGACCCTGACAAATTGGTGGACTGGACCAAACGAAAATCTCAAAGTTCAAAGTCCTGCATTTAGGACAGAACAATGCCATGCACTAGTACAGAGTGGAGACAGACTGGCTGGGCAGCAGCTCAGTGGAAGAGGGCCATGCAGTGAACAAGAAATTGAATGAGCCAAAAAAAGGTGTCCTTGTTGCAAAGAAGGCTAACAGTATACTGGGCTGCATTAGTAGGAGCACTGCCAGCAGACCAAGGGAAGTGATTATTCCCCTCAACTCAGCACTGGTGAAGCCACATCTGGAGTGCTGTGTTCAGCTTTGGGCCCCCCAGTTCAGAAAGGATACAGACGAACTGGAGAGAGTTCAGAAGAGGACAACAGAAATGGTTAGGGGGACTGGGGAATATGACTTCTGAGGAAAAGCTGAGGGAACTGGGTTTATTTCATCTAAAGAAGAGACGACAAAGGGGATTTAAAAGCAGACTTCAGCTACCTGAAGGGGGCTCCAAAGATGGAGCTAGAGTGCACTCAGTGGTGGCAGATGACAGAACAAGGAGCAATGGTCTCAAGTTGCAGCAAGGGAAGTTTAGGCTGGATACTAGGAAAAGCCTTCTCACTAGGATAACAGTAAAGCACTAGACACTACTCAGAGGCTGCAGAATCTCAATCCTTGGAAGTTTTTAATATCCAGGTAGACAAAGCCTTGGCTGAGATGATCTAGTTGGGGCTGGTCCTGCTTTGAGCAAGGGGTTGGATTAGATGACCTCCTGAGGTCCCTTCCAACCCTCATTTTCTATTTCTATGAATAAGAGCTTGGACATTTTGTCTGTGCCAATGGCTTAGAATGTGCTGTGCCTGAGGCTGAACACTGATATATGCCCACCAGTTGGGCATATTACATATTGTTCATGTTTGGAAGTGAATTATGCAACTGCTTAAACAAATTTCTTATCATTAATGTATTTTTTTAAAGTGTTCCCAAAAAAAAAAAACACAGACAGCCCCCAGTGGACACTGATCATGAAAAATGTTTTGGAAAGTATTGCAAGAATTACTAATAGAGATATAATTCTTTTTTTCTATTGTACAATGAACTTTAATACCACTTCAAAAAAGAATGTCTAGCTTAGTATCTATACTATATAAAATAAGTTTACCTACAACACTAACATTCTTGGTATACAGTAACTGCTCCTGCTCAAATGCCTTCCATTAATTACGTATGTACAAGTTCTCTAACAGCTACATAACCACAAGGCTTGTGCATACAAATGTATACTTCTTTTAAATATACACTGAGAACATTTTTGCAGTAACAATCAAGTGGATGTTTTTTGGGGTTTTTTTAATTAAGTACTTAACCTCACAGTAACATATGTTACCACATTAGACTGAATCAGCGGTGATCTGTACAAACACCCGAGGGTGATGATGCAGCTCTCCTCTTTCTCGTAAAACTGTGGAGTGGCTCTAAATTACAAAAATTGAACTCTGAAGCAGCTGTTTGGTCTCCTTTTCTCTATTTAGATTAAATGGAATCCCAGGAGGAGAAGTGTGGGTGAGTGACGATGCCTACCAAATGCTCAGTGTGGAAGGATGCATTTCTTCCAACTGTTCCACCTTTAGGTAGCTTAAGTTTGTGGGAAAGCATAGCACTTTCACAGGGATTTGCCAGAAACACGATGATTGCTGTTGTGCACAGAACCCTCAATATTTCACAGTGCATTTCCTAACCCACCACTCAAAGTAAACTGCCCCCCACCCCACCCTTTTTTTTGGTCCAGTTCCAATTCCCCAAACTAAACTGGTCACTTTCTTCTTTCAGCTTGTCCTCCTGAAGCCACACATGGCTTCCAACTCACATTTACCTTTCTACATTTAATGAAAACTAACAAGTTGATTCGCAGTGTGGTCTCATCCATGCAGACCGCATGGAATTTAAGACTTTTAAAGAACTGGACAAGTCTGTGGCAGTACCCCACTGCACCCTTAAAAGGATCCTGCAGCACCTGCTTTTAAAAAATAAATAAAATCAATGGACTAAGTAACAGTCCATCTTTAAACTCAAGCTTAACAAAAATCCCCAAGCAATTAGAAATGGTAGCAAGGAGTCAAATGTACTTGTCAGTTTACACATGTGCACTTCATGACAAGTGTAATACTCTTTATATACAAACAGA